GACGAATGATTTTATATTTTGCATCAAATGTTTTTGTGAAGAAATGAAAATTGCAAGCGCTACGATATTATGCTCCAACCCAATATTTTTGCGACTGCAGGCTGTCACCCTTCACTAAACTTTTTATGACTTATGTAGCTGTTAGAGCATCGTATTTTCCAACTATGTATGGAATATACAGGGGGCCAATAAAAAAAAGACATTTTGTCTCCACTTCCAGATGGATTTAAGCACATTTTGCTCAATTCAGACCGAATGGTCCCAACTTATTATTAAAGAGCGCATTCCATTCTGTAAGAAAATCTTTATGGTGGCCACCTACGTGGACATCAGAAGAATTTGCCCTGGAAACATGGTGCACTGGTCGATCTCAATGGGGTCTTCGAAGGATCGTGTACCATAACGACCCTTACTGGAAAGCTAGTTCCGAGGGGATTTGCACAGTGGTAGCTAATGCCTCTAGAAAACTATCCAACATTAAATCGATTCACGAAATTGCGTAAGAGCTTCAGGCTGAAGCTCTTACGGTAGACCTCCTTGAGCCTGACGACGGTGACAGATGACGTCATATTCTGAAGACGGTGAGGGCAGTGAAGGAGGGCCTGCGTTCACTTATAGAGGGACACTTAGAGGAATACTCAGCTACCAACAGAGGCAAAATGTCTTTTTTTGCCCTCCCCCTGTAGTTCAATCCACAGCGGACGCTCACTCTCACTACTTCTACGGTAGTCAGCCATTTATGAAAACGAAGCGCCCTATAACTTGGTGATGGAGGTATTCCGATAGTTGAGCATTGCTGCATAAAGGAATCTGTCATTCTTCACTGAACTTTCTAGAACTTGTGTAGTTGTGAGTGTCGTGGATATACAAGTGAGGTCTGAAATGCGTTCAAAGCAGTGAATTTTTGCAAATATTTTCGCCCATAATTTGTTAAAAAGGTACAGTAACTAATCTTTCAACATGCGCGAAAACGAACCAGAAGAACAGGAAGCAGGGTCAACCGTCCGTTGGACAAAGTCCAACGCGACGACGAGAGTAATGCCGAGAGTGAACGTACGCACGGAGACACAGACGGCTCGCGGGTGGCGAGAGTGAATGCCGGCGCGGAGAGCGGTGAACATCGGTCCAACGTCGCTCCAATATCGGTCCAACGTAACGGTTGACCCTGGGAGGATTATGGTGATTGTAAGTTGAAGTTCTTGCAGATTTTGACAGCAAGTTGGTGCAGATTTCCGATTAGTTTTTCGGCACTCGGTGCGTTTTTAATAGAAGCTTTAAAAGCTTTTGCCGTTGATCAATCCCGTCTTGGGATGCGGCACGCATTCTACTTCCATTTGTACATTCGTAGTGGCGTTTGAATGCGATGTGGCCTATACAATGACTTGCGGGGGCCAGCCGATGTTCAAGTCAGTGTTTTTTATCCTCCCAGACAAGTCTGGTACCAATTAACCGACCCCGGAGGGATGGAAGGCTTGGTTGGCCCGGGCGACTCACGACCCAGGATTTGATCCCGGACCGCTCGCGTGGTGAGCGCGCCACTTGTCACTACACCACTTCCGCCCTGCGTTTTTTACGAAAATTTAGATAAATAGGATTTCTGCTCCACCCAAACGGTACTAACAGCTTCCTTTCGAAGCTACCATTTCACTTTTCAAAGTCTTGAAAATAACATGCTCTAAAAGCGAGTCTGCATGATTTTTCTTCTTTTGACTCGAATAAGGTAGAAACGTGAATGAGTAGATTGTAATGGTTTTTGTTGCGAACGAAAGCATTGTACTATTTGAGTCGAGATATCCACCTTTGGATTTCAAGGTCAAAAACGACAAGAACTTTCCTTAACCGAATATCAATGCGTACTACAAGTCTAGTACTTTAGTTGACATAGGCAGTACTACATAGGACTGGAATTTGATCCAAGATCGGCGCGAGAAAGCGTCTATTTTGGGTTGGTAAATTAGCAACAGACACCCGGGAGTATAAGAAGTGTTGTGTTGCTTGACTAGCCGTCCAAAGCATCGCACTAATAAAGGTATCTCTATTGTTCTATATGGAAGTCGAATGCATGGCGCGCCCAAGAAAGGAGTGATAAAGTTGGGATCGCACATTGTAGTCTCTAGTCTAAGCTGCTCGGACTTTTACTTTATTTCCTTAACAATACGGTACCATTTTATGCTGTAGCATGGGCTAGAACCTTGGATGGAGGTAGTGTAGTTGCAAGTGGCACCACCTGACCAGACGCACAGTGCGCAATTCAAATCCCGGGTTAATTCTACCCTGTCCATATAAGGCTTGCATCCATCTAGGGTCGGGAACTGATGCCAACCGTCTCCTAATCATCTGGAAGCATAAAAACACTGAGGTTTACATAGTTTAGCCCCACAAGTTACTGTGTTCGCTAACTTGTACTCAAATGGCACTACGATTCCAAATGACATAGAATGCGTGGCGCATCCCAAAAGAGGTTGATCTATGCACAACGCTTAACCTTAGCCTTATCCTTATGTCATCTTTAGCTGCAATTTTACAAAACTTAAATTTATGAACATGAGTTCCTTTATCATTATATGTATAAAGTTAAGTAATTAATAATTCATGATTAATAATATAATGGATATAAGTTACATTAAAACAAGAAGAATATGGTGCATAGAAGAAGACAAAAGATAAAAGATAAAAATTGAAAAGAAAAGTATTCAAGTCAGTCCATTTCTTAAAAATTTATTAGTTTTAAAATGCAAATTAATGAATTAATATCTTGAGCAGCAGTTTTACCTTCCTTCCCTTACTGATGAGCACACAGGAAGGATACTCAATCCGTCTAGTTCTTCTAACAAGGGGGTCTTTCAGGGCAAGCCGCGCTTTTTGGAAACGGTTTCTTGCATATTGTAGGGACGCATGTATGGACCACAAAACCATGTTTCGTTTTCGCTGAACGGTTTTAGTAGTACCAAAAAAAAGGTACTGTTGATGGTTCGATCCCCGTGGCGACTAAATTTTGCATTTGGGTTGGCGCCTACGGTTGGTGCCAAATCGCGCTAAATGTCAAAATCAGATGTCATATTCATCGTCAGGACCATTTTGAAGCCAACAAGTGGCCGCCAACCTTGATTGCAAAATTTAGTCGCCGCGGGGGATCGAACCATCAAGGGTATCATTCACCACTTTTTGGTACTACTAAAACCGTTCAGCGAAAACGAAACATGGTTTTGTGGTCCATACATGCGTCCCTACAATATGCAAGAAACCGTTTCCAAAAAGCGCGGCTTGCCCTGAAAGACCCCCTTGTAAGGGCACGTGCGAAATGGAAACTAGACTACCTCGTTGTGTTGACCCCGTAATGTAAAAATACATTTACAAGAATTAAAAATGAGAATTATCGCATAAAACAGAAAGTCTTTCCTATGAAATTTGCAATTCTGTTTATTTTCTTCAAGTACTGTTCCGACTTTTTCAAGATTTTCAAAATTTCAAGGTTCCATTTTTTCTTAAATTTTCATAGGTGAACATACTATTTCAGATGAAATGAGAAAGCTTTGAAAATGAATTTCTGCACACAAACTCAATCAATTAGGAAAATATAAGAAGGCAAGCGTATGCGAAAAGTTAACGCTGTATATAGATCGAAATACCAATGTATGCAAATGTTTTAAGGGAATCAAACAGGGTAGAAAAACAGGTCTGCGGTAGGCGGTGTACCCTGCAGCTTATGTTGAGCTTTAATACAAGCACAAGTGTAGCCGTTAGATTCACTACTAGTACCTTACGTCGTAAACGCACTCCGTGGTAAAACTGATGGATAACCTATCAGCACGTAGAGAGCTATGGGGAAAATAGCGCCGAAACCAAGCACGAAGTGCGACTTTTGAGAAAAATCGATGCGCTTCGTTCTTGAATTTTCTCGGAACTAAATGTATACGATCCTGAAGGCTGTCAGGAAAACAGGAAATGAACAGTTTATGCATTATATTCAGCCTAAGTAAATAGCACCGAAATCGTTCAAGTGGACACCGATCGAGAAACATGGCTAGCGTCCTTGAAAGGTCCGAAAATGTGTCACAGATTAGGACCTCGCCTAAGTGCAATCGGTGATTCCGTGTGGTTCCTTGCTTCTCAGACCGTAGAACATTCGTCCGCAATAGTCTTTATGCCTTACTCAAGCATACTCGAACACGAGCAGGACCAATATGCAATCGTAAACAAAACAACGCTACTGTAAAATGGAGTATATTGTCACCCCCTCAAAGGAATAGAAGCGAGTCCACGCGCTAGCGCTAGCGTTCTGACCTCATTTCGTAGGAACTGGTTACAGGTTCTGAGCTGGGTTCATTGTTCGAGAGTAATGGTTGTTTCAGAGTCAAGGTACGGGACGAACATATAGAGCACTGTACCTCTTACAATACAGTGGATGATCAACATTAGCACAAGGACGGGATACCGGGTCTGCTTGGCGAACGCCGATGATGATGATGACGGGCTACCTGGGACTTAAATAGGGTTTGATTGCAGGGGCAGATTCAGTAGCTTGCAATCATGTTAGAATTCGGGCGTGCAATGCGCTGTAGAAAACGCCGCATACACGACATACCGGTCGACAGACCACCACACTTGCGCTGCTTTATATTTTTGATCCTGTGTGGTCTTTCGGTCACGCCACTTTTCCTATGACCTTTGTTGTTCATTAGTGTTTATTATTTGTGTCATTTCGCAGGTGCATGAGCGGTTCCTTTGTCGCACTTGAGTTTTTCGACATCACGAAACATTTCGTGCACTTCACGAAACATTTCGTGCACATACGGTATGCACCAAGACCTGTGCTCTATACGCTTTACTTACCATGACACGTACCACTAGTGAAGGTTCCATGGGCCCAACTATCCTTTCCCCGGGGTTGGGAAACAGAAATTCCCTCTGAATATGTTTTTTCCCTTGTTTTCAGCATGTGCCCACCTTTACACACATTACATTACAATAGGCCCTTTGTTAGGGCGATTCAGGTTGGAAATACAGAGAAAATGAAAAGGAATTTTTGCCCCACCCCTCCTCCCCCCCCCTTTCTGGGGCAGGGATAGCATACGTATGTACATTGTTCACACCGCACACTTCGTGGAGTTACCACCGCCCTGGTGTCACTCCAAAAACCAGACAGTATTGCACGTCCTTCGTAGGCCATCGTAATCAGAAGCTCGTCTTCAAGATGGCTAAACATTTCTACTGAATCATCGTTTTTAGAGACTTAGCGTTAACCCATTTAAGACCGCTGTTGTGCATGTGTCTTGCCATCTATTTTGATCATCATCGTCATCCTATGCAACACCTTCCCACGAGCAGGACGGATCCCTTGTTCCCATAGACGTGGCTCGTTTCGCAAAAGTGTGCGCGCTCCTACTGGCACTCTACCTCTTGTATTCCGCAGCAGGTGCATCTGTAATGCAGAATAAACAACATAAGTGGCGACGGTCTTCACGAAACTTGATAGGTTTCTCCTTTACGGGATAATAAGCCAGTTGAAGTTGTATTTTATTAATTGTCATTAGTTACGGCAGTCAATTAACTACTAATAACTGCCACGTACTTATATTTTGATACTTTGATAGTCCATCAACTGGTGTTCTTCTCAGTGGGGACCACAGCTCTTCCACATAGCCCGATTTTTGGCAACTTGCATCCAATGTAGGCCGCGTTCTCTGAAAAATTTTGAAACTAGTCGGCCCACCGAGTTGGCGGTCGTTCCTTTGGGTCTCGTGTTGTTTCTTGACCTTTTGTTTTCTATAACTGTTACCTTGACTATGAATTATCAGATTTTCTGGAGGCCTTCGTCACTTGTGCTGTTCTGCCTGCATTTGAAGATGCACCTGATTAAAGGGTACAAAGGGAGACTGATGCGCAAAGGGGTACATTCCCAAATCAGATCTAACGCATCATAAAATTTAACAGTTAATAAAACCCTAGCTTTTAGGCAAACACACTCGTCTTGTGAACTAATCCCTCACCTGCTTTTGGTGTATGCACAACGTAGAAGGAGCAGGTCTGCTTGAATAGAGAGTCGGAGTCTGAGAAAGGCAAGAAGAAAGTGCAGTACGAAAGCAGAGATGGTGAGGGAGAGCGGCTCTGAGTTATGTAAACACTCCTCGCATTACTGACCCTCACTACTCGCACATGGACATCGCCGCGCGACAAAATAAAGAAGCTCTTTCCACCTCTATTCCACCTTTGCAGCAGCCAACATTCGTCTTTATTTTGTTGTGGTGTCTAGCCGACTTCGGCCGTTTAAGGTTATTAGGTTAACATTCCTTAACACTGCTAAATATTTCTGCTGAACCATCGCTTTCAGAGACTCAGCATTAACCCATTTAGGACCGCTGTTGTGCATGTGTCTCGCCTTTTTCTGCATGTTCCCATTTATTGCCCTTTCAATAATTTCGTTATTGGTAATGAATATATGTTTTGAATCCGGTAATTGAATATGGATAATTTCATATGCATAATTTGTAATTGTAAGAAATGCCAAGAAAATCGAGCGAGACGAGCCTCCTCCCTGTGAAATCGTGACTTAAAATAGGGTCACATTACCATCGATGGGTTAAACTGTTGGGGAGAAAACCTGGAACTGCACTTGTTCATAAATAAGTAGTAAGTATTACTTTACTACTTCAAACTGATCAAGCACCTACAATGAAACCTAACCTTTACTGCCACCTTATGCTCATTTTTACTTCATAAGTAAAGTAGAGTAGCAAAAGTGCGTAATACAAGTTGCTGTCTTGCGGAGTTTGCAGTATATGATCGGGACTTTGAAGGGTAACGTATCCCAATAACAATATTTGTTATTTGTCTTTCTTTAACTCAGGAACCTTTGGACCTAGTCAATTTTTAAATTGATGTGAACAAGACTTCTTGGAGTTACAGTAATACAGCTTGTGTCTAAAATTGCATCCGAAAAACATTTGGTCCACTTCTTTAGCCATGTAGGCCAGTATGACACCGTAGGTCTTTAGACGCTCAGTTTGGAGTAATATGATGAAAGGCTCAGTCGATTTCATCGAGGAGGGTTTGCCTCCTCTGTGATGAAATCGCTTTCAAGTACAGCAGGTGTTGAAATCGTGCTTTATATTTTTTCGAATCGAGTTGTTCTGAAAATTTGAATGTTTGGGAAAACCGTTATGATAAGGTGTTAAGCACTACAAATGCTCAACACCGCGAGCTTTGTTAACTTATTAGTCGCTTTCAATATGTCCATGACGTTCCGCTCTCTAAATAATTCTATAAAAATATTTTTATCAATGTTCATGTTGCCGACATGGCACGTGCTGCGGACGATCCTCGTCAGCTTGGCCTTTTACCTTTACTTTTACTTACTTTTCATTGAAATTTCCGTGCTTATGGCTTTGGTCAGGTGGACAAAGCAGTGGCACTAATATCCTACTCACTATAAAGCGCTTCGTCTGTCGTTCTGTATGTCTGTCACGAAATTCCCTAGCTCCTCGGGATCCCCTGGAGGGACTTGATGTGTATATAATAAATAAACAAATAAATAAATCAATATAATATTTAATTGGCGAATGTTAAATCGGATTCAGCTACAGCTCCCTTGACTTACGCCTTTTTCCATTACGATCCATTCCATGAACCTTTTAACATTTCGTGTAGGAGGGTTTCTTTAGAAAAGTGAAGAAAATCGAAATTAGGTCTCGGTCATTGTCAATTCGTCTCTGTTTTACATTCGCCGACATAGAACACCTCCGAAACGTTCAGTGAGGTCGGTACGGAGAAAATAGAAGCTGCTTTTTCGACATCGATGGTCTAATTCACCTAGAAGTGCTTCCAATTTTCTTGAGGCTGAACATCGGCAAGCACTGTAAACAGTCAAGAAAACAAACAGGTAGATAGCAATAAATAAAATTAACTGTTTTAATAAATATAATAAATTTAATAAAAATATATAAATATGAACAATAAATTTAAAGTGTAATTATAACACCAATGATATCTAACGATATATGACATTCAGCAATATAAAGCAAAATAGGTGATGATAAACGAGAAGAAATGAGCCGTGCAGAGATTTTTTTGTGGTTTTACAAGTATGAGATTTATTTTCTTTTTGTATCCTTTGTTCTTTTTTCATTTTACGTTTGGTTGGTTTTCCAATCTCTAAGAATATTTCAAGATATCTAATGGATATTTTCTGTCTTTCAAAAATGCGCTTATTTTTCAAAAGGGATTTAAATTCGAAAGATGATGGGTGACTTTCTATTCTTCAGGTGACCATTCTTTTATTATGAAATTGAGCTTTCTTTTAGTGTGGTATTTCCTCTGGAAATAGTGGTCAGTCTATTTTCACTCATTCTTGAATTAATCTTCCAAAATCGGGTGAAGGCCAACGCTTTGAATAATCCGCTCGTCACCTTGGCCTAGAACCACATTTCCTGGTTTTCTGCTATGATACACTCATAACACACCAAGTTGTTTTTATGTTTCTTTTTCGGGTTGTGAATATATTTTTGCATTTTTTATAATTATGATGCCTAAACACTATCCTGTATTTTTACATTTTTTTCACTCGATTTTGGAAAATATTTTCGCGGACTTGATTCTACTTATTAATTGATCCAATCCGTCTGCATTTAAATTAAATCATTTGAATTCTACCCCATAGACCACTCAATTGTCTAGTGGTACAGGACTACTGTAGTGCTACTACTAACGCCTAGTAGCCCCATACCACTAAACTGATCATCGGGAAGTAACTGAAGTAGTATTATTCTTGAGGAATGAACAGCTGGTAACTATTATTGGTGAAGTAAATCTTTTTCAATAATTTTTTTTTCTTTTCGAGAAATACGGAATGTGCTTAGAGCAGTTTCAGAATTTTGTAGCGCTCTCTTCATGAAACAAACAAACAGCGACTCTTCCTGTCAAATCATTTTAGGGTCACGTTTGACGAGCCTAAAAAAACGCTGTTGTATGCTCAAATGCTATCGTTGATTGATCACTGTTAAGAGGATGAACTTACGAAAGGACGAGTTTTCTGAAGCGTTTGTGTTTACTTATTCCCACACTAGATGGCAAAACGTTTCGATTGCTCTGCTTTAAGAGTTTCGACCAGGTTTTTTGTTCCGCTCGTCGCAAACATGGAAAAGGCCTTTTTCGTGGACGCTGTCTTCAATGGACCAGTTCTACTTCTGATTTGCTTGTACAGATTTTTTTCCTGTTACTGTATTTACCAACGAGCAGATGAAAATGTCTTATTCAGCATCGGTATTCATCAATAGGTAGCAAAAATGAGCCATTTCAAGAGGTGCTGCTAAAACACGATTCATAGCTTAAATAGCTTTTATTTCCCATATTTTGTCCCTGGGCACGGAACAGCTAGATCGTGCTTAACGTGGACTCAGGACAAAAAGTGATGGCTCATCAGCAATCGTTGATTCGTTCAGCTTCTGATTATGTTTATGTTTGTGATTATGTTTATTACGTCCGCTAAAGGCAAACGTTAGAAACAATGCATAACTTGATAAGTAAACAAAATCGAATAATACAACAATAAGCTAAATCGAACGCGAAACTTCTACAAGAACAGATAAAATCAATAAAATTTCAGGCACCAGTTAAAACTCATGATAATCAGTCTCATAAGACGCTAGATTACTTCATATCTCAGCAAGATTTTTTCCACCGA